ACGGGCTATTAAGCGTATGCAAAGCGGAGTTAATTTCATTGAACTTTCCTGCAGCGAAGTTTCGCGCGCCGCGCCGCCATGAAATGTGGTGGTTTAAACGGGCCGTCGGCAGGAATACGTAATGAGACCGCGGGCGAAAACTAGAGATATCCTCCCCTTCGCACTCGGCTCTCTCTCTCTCTCTCTCTCTCTCTCTCTCTCTCTCTCTCTCTCTCTCTCTCTCTCTCTCTCTCTCTCTCTCTCTCGTCGGGCAACGCGTCCGCACTTGAACGCTGATTTGCATCGTGCGTTTCGTCGAGATTCCGCCACCGCCACATAATCTCTTTGTTCGCGATCGCGCGGAGTTAATGTAGCTCTGATGCAAATCAAATTCATGCTCGAATATAGAATAAGCGGCAACGCGCTGCGCGGCGAGAAACGTGTCGGGAAGTGCGTCGCGGTGATGCGTTTCTTAGCGTCGTACTTGAATAATTGAATAATTACACGTTGCACCGTTAATAGCGCTTTTTATTAACACGCGAAACGCGCGATGTGCGCGTACGCTATTCCGCGTAGGGGATCGACTCGACCTCGTTAAGACGATCACTCGACTCGCGGTGGCTTCGCGGAACGTGTCCTTGTCCGCCAATCTGACAATGGGCAACGCGCGACGTCCCGAACGGAGCATCGACGCGCGTGTCGCGACGGGAAAAAAGGAAATTCAATAAAGTGGACGAGAGAGAGAGAGAGAGAGAGAGAGAGAGAGAGAGAGAGAGAGAGAGAGAGAGAGAGAGATGAGAGCGCGTACCAGGAAGCGCGCCCGCGTCCTCCGCGCCGAGGATTGTTTCGTGCCGGAAAACAACGTCGCGCTGGAGCGCGCGCTGCGTTTTTGCAGCGCGACGTGCACCACGCGCGCGCGCACACATACACACACACACACAGAGTCGCGACTTATTTCCCCGCAGTCTGAACGACTTACGGCACTCCGGCCACTTCCAACGGTTCGCGTAATACATCGACCGCTTACCGGTATTATTCTATCCACTTATGCAAATGGGATGCGCGACTCGCGCTCGCTCTCGCGCCTTCGCGGCGGCGGCGGCGGCGGCGGGGGGCAGGGGGAAAAAGGAGGCGACCGCGGAAAAGCGATGGTCTCTTAACGCGAGTACTTGTATAAACTTCGATCCCCGTCACGTCGTAAATCGAGGGACTCGCGGACAGTTTAACGCATCGCGCGCGCGCGCGCCTCTCCATATCGGGTTCGCGCTTTATGGACTGCGGAGTTCTGCCCTTCGTGTGCTTAGCGCGCTCGCGCGCGCTGCGTGTGCTTTATCGTCACTTAACATTTATTTAATGTTATGGCCGAGACACACCGGAAAAATTCCCCCCTCCGCCCTTTCTCTCTTTCTTTCTCCGGCTCTCCCTCTCGCTCTGTCCTTCTCGCCGAACTCGCCTTGAATAATCGGAACGCCCGACTCGTCGGTCTCGCCGGCCGGCGAATTTTCAGCGGCGGACTTTGCTCGACATCGAGTGAACGAGGCGCGCAATGATGCTTCTCTTTTCTGTTTCTCCCCGCGATGGACGGTAATTATTATTGTCGCGATATTTCCCACGACAGCAGCGCTCCAGCGACGACTTCACACACGAAGCTATTGTATTTTGTGGAGTTCGTTCCGTAGGACTTGTTTCACCGTATAGTGAAATTTTTTTCTCCCTTTCGCTCTCGCTCACGCTCTCCCCGTCCTCGGTCTGGCGTAATAAATACTTCCGCCCTCCGCCTCTCTTCCGCTTTCGCCCTAGCAATTTCCATAAAATACTCGCGCGGGGTAGTGCTATGCAAATGGCGATCAATGCGTTTCGATTATACATACCCTTTGTATGTTGTGTGTCCGCGGGAGGAGAAAACGAGGGAAAGAGGGAGAGAGAGGGGGGGGGGAAGAGCGGCAAAAAAAATAGGTTGAGTTTAGCTTGCGGTACGCGCAGCCAACAATACGCGACCGTTGTGTTTTATGACGGCCGTCCGGGGCCTGTAGCTTGGACGAGTGAAAGTTATGTTTTTGATTATCGCCGGAGAGGTTTACAACGTTGCTGGCTATTTTACGGCTTGATGAATTGCCGCGGACGATTGTTGGAAAATGTCGTTCGCTTCTGTGTTTTTTAACCGACTGCGTCACTTGGACCGTACGCGCGCGTGCTTTTCGGCGCGTCAGTTATTAATTTCCCGGTAGGTTATTAATTTTGCCATCGATGGGTTCCCTTTCGGCGTGTACGCGCGTGCACCTGTGCGCGCGTGCGTGTGTGTACGTGTGTGGGCGCGCGTGTATGTACGTGTGTGTGGGCGCACGTCAATCAAATATTATATTACATCGATTCGCTCGCCGTAAGTTCGCGCGTGGTTATATTCGTCGGGATCAATTTCCGATGCAGCGAGTAAATGCAAAAATTGCCGGTAAGCGCGGCGTGTAACCATTGCATTATTATTCATCGCTTCTGTTTTAAAAAATATACGCCACACGGCAAGAGTCATGTTTCACTGCTCGAGACTGTCGAGAAACGAACCGCCCTCCTCCGGAAATGAAGCTATTCCCTTTGTCTCAATGCGAGAGAACAACGTCGAATCTGTCGTTGGGCTTTAATCGAGCGGCGGACCTTCACGAAGCGTCGAATCAACGACGGAGATCGTTCGTTATCATTATTACAATTATTCATACGACTCATATTAATTCGTACAAACGGAAAGGGAAGATCCTCACGACGTCAAGCGGACAGCTTCTCGATCTCGTTGGCCGGCCGAGCGAAGGAGGAGCGGCGTGGAAACGCGTCGGGATACTTTCGCGCCCACCAAGTGGCTGGCCGAGCACGTCCTGATTTCGCAGAGGGCGTCGATCGCGAATATGACATGTAGCAAGAAGCAGACCCGCTTCTCAGGCCGGTGAACCTCGGCGAGCCGCGATTTTCCATCGGCCGCGTTATGCGGCAAAAATATCGGCGCGCTTCGATCGCTATCCGCCGTCTTCTACGCGCGCTCGGCCGCCGCGCGGTCACGCGGCACATATCGCGCCGGCATCGTGTCGAGGCGTGGCACGAGGCCACGACACGCCGCTGCCAGAAAACTCCACGAAAATTACCCGGCGTCGAGTAGCTTTAATAGCCCGTATCGCGCGGGCGCGGCAGCCTCACCTACCTACGGCACGGCCGCCGCGCCGCGCCGTGCCGTGCCGTTTCTCGCGGCCGGACCGGCAATTTTTCGCCGCGCGTGCGAACGCGCCGATCGCGGCTCGATCTGCGAGTCATGGCGCGAAGATGAGACGCCAGATATCCGCCGTTTGCGCGCCGCTGACGACTCTCAGATAAGGATCGCGGGCGCGTTAATGCCGCGGAGAGAGAGAGAAGGGGGGGAGGGGAGATACCGTCGCGATGCCATGCGCGTCACAGCGATTATTCCTTCGCACACGTGGTCGCCGGCGCCGGCGCCGCCGCCGCCGCCGCCGTCGTCGTCGTCGTGACGGAAAAATCCGTGGCTGTTGCTGCTGCAGCAACGTTACCCGGCTGGAGCGCGTGTTTGTTGATGAAAGCGATTAATTGGTAGCTTATCGGACAAGGCTCAGCGGCATGATTTCGCGAGCGCGCGGGGTTGCTAGATTGCCGGCAATGCGGCGCGCGCAGCGTCGAACGAGCTGCAACGAGCGAAGCCACACACAAGCGGCGAGGCGCGCGTATGCATTATCGATGACAGCCCTGAAACGTGTAATTGCATCCGCTGACAAAAATAAAGGAACGTTCCCGGCCAGTCACCGCGGCGCGGCGCGGCGCGGCGCGGCGCGCACTTCCGCGGTGCGCGCGTCCGTTGCGTCTCCGCGCGCACTCACTCGGCTCCCTCCGCGGCGGGCGTTCGGGGCCGATATCGAATCCGCCGATGTATCGACGTCCGTAGCAATAAAATATTGCTCGTTTATGCCCGCGCGTTGCATCACGGGCGTATCTGCCGACCTTTTGCAGGCGCTCGCCACGGCGGCGGCCGCGCAAAAGCGATGCATCGGCCCCGAGGTCGATAACTTTCTCCTTTAATGCACCTTTACGTGCTCGCCCCGCGTCGTAAAAGTGCGAGAACATCGCGTAGAGGAGGAGGAGGAGGAGGAGGGGGAGGGGGAGGGAGAGGAGGAAAAAAGAAACAGCGCGACAACCGCGACGATAGATAGCCGGAAGTTACGATTCCCCGCGCGCACGCGCGCTAAAGTTGCAGCGCACGCGACGCGACCGATTCGCGACTCGGCTCGCGAATCGTCGTTCCGTCGAAATATCCGAGGGGAAAGTCCTCTCGCTGCGGTAAACACGCGTACGCGCGCGCGAGAGTACCGCTGTAATTATCGCTTGCGTAAGCTTGGATCGTAACGACGCGACGCGCGCCTATTAGACGCGCCGCAGACTCATTTTCCGCGCGCGACGATTCGTCCGCGGGATAACCGCCGCGGTTAATCTCGCGGGAATGGAAATGTGACGACGAAATTGCGGGGTAAATTTATCGTTCCAGCAGTGTGGGGAAGCCTCGAAGAAATCCGACGAAACTGCATCGAGACTCTCGTGATGTTCAATCAACCACAAATTAATTATAAAGCCATTTTCTCAATTTTGACGTGTTCGCGAGGCGTTAGTAGCCGCCTTTTCATCGTCGAACCCACCTCGTTTGCGTTTTATTTCAAGTCTCATCCCTTCCCCCGCTCTCTCCCTTCCTCTCTCTCTCTCTCTCTCTCTCTCTCTCTCTCTCTCTTCCTTGCGGTTTAATGTGGTGTTAAAAATCACAATGCAAAATATCAGCTGATAATATAATTCAGTGCAATCCCGAAGGGGTTTGACATTTATCGCGGCGAAAGCTCGCGGACGAGAGCTGCGGATAGGGAGATTGCCGCGGCGCGCGATTTAATTGTGCGCGTGTACAAACGTGGGTGAGCGTTAGCGTCTAATACTCTGTTACTCAATCGCACGATATCGCCATTAATCCCATCCGATAATTTGTGTTTCAGGTAAGTTACGAGCCGTACCCTAATCGCGGTTGGTGGCGTATGATTGACTCCTCCTCGTATCGAGTAAGTATGCGGCATGTATACGCGCGGCGCGTCGATATTTAATAACCGCGAGTTATGCCTCGGGGCTATTAATCGCGGCTCCGGCGCGTCGAAAACGGATCGTTTCCCGCAAGTAGCGTGGATAAATGGAGGTAATACCGCTAATTGCGCGTATGAATCTTTCTAGCGTGCGTACGGATTGAAACGCGATTCTCGCAGGCGTTCGCCGAGTGAGTCTGCAAATTCTCCGTATGTGTGCGCGCTTTTGCCGTGCGTGTGCACATACACACATAGTGTGTGTGTGTGTGTATGTCTGTATAAAGCTTATGTACAAGCTTCTGCCGATACCGTTAGTCTACGATGTGCAGTGACGCGGATTTGCATATGCCGCGAGATTACGTACGCTTCCCTCCCAATTAGCGTCGACGTTAAATTCAGCGACGGCACGTAACCGAATCAATAATACGTAAACATCGCCCTATTATCGCGAGGAAGAGAAAGGGAAAGGTAAAGAGAGTGAGGGGCAGAGAGAGAGAGAGAGAGGGAGAGAGAATCCCTGAGGGCTCGCAACGTAGAAATAAACAGCGCTTTAATTCCAACAGTAGAAGCTCGCTCGCTCGTTCGTTCGTTCGTTCGTTCGTTCTCTCGCTCGAATCGGTTAAAATATAATTCAGACGAATATCCAAACGCACGGATGGTTAACGGTGTATTTTAACGAGGACCCAGTCAATATTCCCGTTGAATTACGCCGCGTTATATTTATCAGAGTTTTGTTATTCCCCGGGCCTGATTTCGGTTTATTGTTTATCGAGAAGAGGAATGGGGGGCGAGGGGGAGGGAGAAGCGCCCATTGGAAAAATAGCCGCGCGGTGCGCGCGAATGGGGAACATTTATTTCGTATCGCACTCGAGAGCGCGCTTCTCGGCGGTGATATTTATTTTTCACGTAACCGATGGTTGCGCGTGCGACGCCGAACGGTTCGCGAATCATTAATAAATTTGCCTTGCTAAGTCATCTCTCTCCCCCTGGCCTTCCCTCCCTGCCTTCGATCGTAGCATCCTCCCCTCAAGGCGATATTAAAATTTATTTGCGAAAAAATACCGGCTGTTCCGCGCGCGCTCACCGAGGGGAGATGTACGGGAAAGCGGTATAAAAGCGAGTTTAATTCCATACGAGCGCCGAGCTCTTGGCGGCCACTCTCTCCTCTCCACGCGGCGCGTCAACCGAGTCATCGTGCACCTGCGTGAAACATGCGCGAACCGATCGATGAACGCACAATGATCCTTTGCGACCTACCTCCACCCATCGCCGGCGTGCCAAAGTTTGATTAATTGATTCTGGATCTGTACGTAGCGCCGTTCGGCGAATCGTCGTATTTGGATAAATCAGCGTTGATTGCCGCGCGCGCGCGCGCGCGCACGCATACAGCGCAGGCAAGTGTGCAAATGAAACGATTCTTTGCGAGTTCTTCGCGCGGGGCGAAAGGGCAAAGGGCTGTACAATACACTCGGGGAGGACCTATATAAAAAGTTTACAGCGGAGGAAACGGCCGTGAGGAAACGGCACCTGAATAAAAATTCTGAATACTTTTACTGTGTCAACTCGAGTGCAATTTATTAGTTTCGAGTAACGGGGCCGAATGTGCGAGACGCAGTCGTTCTCCGCATTGAATTATGAGGGAAATTTAGGCGAGAATAACCGGGTCGAATCCCAGCCGCCAAACGGAGAACGAACGATTATATTATAGATCGATTGTGCGCAGAATTGATCTTCGACGGGGACGGAGCAAAATTCCCGAGAGAAGAAGAGATCTCTGAAAGATTCAGCAGAACGTTCACCGACGATACCTCTTCACGGAGATAGAGCGAATCGGTCGTGATATTCGCGAACACGTTATCGAGGAAACGAACGGAGCCTCTCTCCGGTACATCGCGCGGATCGATTTGGCGGAAAGTAGCGACTTCTTAAGGCCGCGATATTAAACGCCTCGAAAGCGAGCCGGGGCGACTTCGCCGCGCTGTTCCGGCGGATCTCGCGGATATTTCTCGGTTCATAAGTCGGCGTTTTATTTTTTCGCTCCCTCTCGCGTCGCTGCCGCCGGGTCGTGAAAGTTGCTTGATTAAAACTGAGGATTCAGGGCACTTCGCGTAGCGGCCGTAATTGTTTGACGGATATACGGCGAGGGGTTATTACTTCTAAATCTCCCGGCCACCCGCGTGCGCCGTTATCCGCATGCAAAATGAAAAAAGCGCACGGTCGTTAACCAGAATTAGGCTACCTGCATTAGGAAAGGGGCGGGAGGGGCGCCTCTCGTTCCCGCGAGCGCCGTGAGATACGCCGGCAGATTTTTCCGGGGAAAGAGTGCAATCTCCGTAGATTAGAAGTAACGAACGATAACGAGATGATTGATGAGAACGCGAGGATGGAGTGGAGGAGGGAGGAGGAGAAGGCTGTGGCCGCCGCGGCCGTGGCGGCGGCGGCGGCGGCGGCGGTGCCACCTCTCTTTCTTCCGCCGCTTAATTTCATTATTCCTCTCGCGAGTCGAGCGTTTAACGCTCGCCGAGTCGTTGCACTTTCGAGTTTACTTTCTAATCGAGTCCATTTATAGTATCCGCCGTCGGACTGAAGCAACCGGCTCTAACGAGTGCCCTCCGTAACGAAACGCCATTTCACCGTAGATGCCCGTGCGTCCCGTTATTCGACGCAGCCGAAATTGCAATAATCGCGCGACCGCACTAATAACGCGTATAACTACGCGCGCGAGTATCGACGTCGCGCGCGCTCGCGGCGAACTCTCGAAATCAGCCGGCACACGTTCGACGGAAGATTAATATCGCTCGCGGTAAATAACAATAACGAATCCGGCAATTCTGTTAGCTCGGGACGTGGCGCGGCGCGCGGTATAAAATTCGCGTCAGGTACAAATGAAGAGGAGAAGCGCAACAAGGAGCGCGTCGCCGCCAAGCCGGGCGAGAGAATCGCGTTCTCTTTGTGCCGTGACAACGTTAATGATTCGTTTTCCCCCTTTCCTTTCGTTCATCCGTCGTTCGTGCGCCGCCGCCGCCGCCGCCGCCGCCGCCGGTGTTGAGGATGCTTCGTTAGTGTGCGTTTTAATATCGGTCTACGCTAAAGCCGCGCGACTCTTCCATTTTTCCTTCTCTCGTTATCCCTCGCCGTCTCTTTTACTTTCTTCCTCTTTCCTCTTTCTCTGGTTTTCCCCCCCCCCTCTCTCTCTCTCTCTCTCGCTCTCGCTCTCTCGCTCTCTCTCTCTCGCGCCGTAATTCTTTTGACACGGTGAAAAAAGAAGGAGGAGAAGGAACAGAACAGAAAAAGAAAGACCGGATAAAATGATGTTCGACACCGAGCGAATCGGATGTACGTTTTAGCGAGAAATAAAGCTCCGTGCGGCGCGCAATTCGAGCGTGTTAGGCCGCGCTGCGCCACGGGATTGCACGATGTTTATCGAAAATCGATAATAAGGCGGACGCGCGTGCGCGCGCGCGCGCGCGCGACACAGTTTTGCTCATTTTCGAGTCGTTTGCCGCGGCTTACGATCCACGACGTCCGTTCTCTTTCTCTGTCGATAGTCGCAAGTTATCGGCGAGAAGCGCTTTGAGAAATGAGCCTCGAGTTATCGTGAGAGAAAGAGAGAGAGAGAGAGAGAGAGAGAGAGAGAATGGCGCGAATTTTAACGTCGCGCTTGAGAGATTAATAGCGCTCGGCTGCTTCTCTGCTGTCAAGTATTTCCGAGACGCGAGGGTGTCTCCAATTCGAAACTGTTAGAAAGGACGGCGGTTTCGCGTAAAAACCGTTCGTATCCGCCTTTCTTCGCGGTGTCGCGAAACACAATCGACAGTCTCTTTTTCTCTCTCTTTCTCCCTCCCTGTCCCTTTCCCGCGGAGAAATCGGATCGAGTTCCTCGATCCCGACTTGTTTACAAGGAGAACGCATCTTTCGGATTGATCTATAAATCTCGTGCGGCGTCGCCGGCGGATTTCGGCGGATCGAGCTAATGTTTTTTGAGCGGCGGGAAACAATTTCGCGGGGGAGGCTGAGGGGAAGACGCGAAGACGCGCGCTGTTTGCGTTCGGCAGCGTCGCCGGAAGCGGGCATTTTGTCGGCGCGTTACTGCGCCGTTACTCACGTTACTCACGTTACTCTCGCAACGCACCGCGCCCGCGTCGCGGGGCGATTTCGTGTCGGGATGCGTGCAATATACATCTCGCGTTGTCGCGTTGTGGCGTCACCCCCGCACGGAGATCTCAATTAAGCCCAGTATTTTACCACCGCCGCATTTTCCCGCCGTACGATGAACTCGACATTTTGCATTTTCCCGCGGAAATAACGTCCCGTGATTTTTCGGGCGTAATCGCCACGTAAAAAGAAAAAAAAAAAAAAGAGAAACACACGGTTGCTGCGCGGGACAAAAATGCATTTCGTTAGGAGCCGCGTTTGATCCCGACGCGCGAGGAAAGCCGCTTTCTCGCGCGCTTCTCGCGGGTATCGTAAATGTCAACGAGGATTATTGCAGCTGTCCGCGGCGTAAGATATTGCGAGCACCGTGAAAATCTCGAACGTCGAAATGCCGCGCCCGGCTCCGGAAGCACACTCGTTCTGTCTTCTTGTGAAGAGGGAGAGCGAGAGAGAGAGAGAGAGAGAGAGAGACACATGTCAGCGGAGACCGTCGGGAAATCACATCCGCCGTTTGCCGTAATCGGCCAGCATTGATTGACCGACGCAATCGGCGATCTCCCAGCGCGGTCGCATCGAGTCCTGTCGGTGATATGACAGGACGAGAGCGCCTAGATACGCTGGGATCAATCCCTAGGGCGAATTTATTATATAACAGGGCGTCTCCGCTGTTCGCGGAAAAATCTGGCAGCCGCAGATTTCTCCAGGAGCCACTTGGATCATTTTAGAAAAAAAGTGAATCAAGAGTATTTTCAGAGAATTCGCGAGAGAGACTGTCTGTTTGAGACTTATCTTTCCCCGCTTTGTGTTACCCCGACTCGTCGGATAGTGGAAAAAAATCCAGAATCACTGGGACTCCGGAGATTAAACTCGGCGGAACGTCGTAAAAATAAGCGGTGCCTCGAAATAAGAGATTAGTCTTCTCGGGAAACACCGAGAATACCAAAGCACGAGATGAATGAGTTCCTTTCAATCATGTCTAAAAATGCACGAATTGCAGTTGCGGTTGAAAATGAAAGCCTAATCGTCGGGGGAATTTCTTTCTCCGCGACTCCGACCAATAGACGACCCGTATAATTTACGCATTATTATACGCTGCTTTGATCATCGTGTATACGATTGTGTCATATTCTGTAATTACGATTCGTTAGGGAGAAAGAGAGAGGCGAGTGGGGCGAGCGGTGGGGAGGAGAGATACGCGTGGCTGCGCGGATGTACATTACACCATAACCAATATCTGCGTGTTTTAACAATAACACTTCGCGTCCCGACAATTGACGCGATTCCGTGCAGATATAATTAACCACAGTTATCATAATTACTCTCCTCCCTCTCCGTCTCATTCTCTCTCTCTCTCTCTCTCTCTCTCTCTCTCTCTCTCTCATTGTTCGCACTCCCTCTGCTCTTTCACGTGCGCACTCGCACTCTACCTGATGTCAACTGCCGTCGCATCAAATTTTAATCACAGACGCTTTGACGCAGTCACACAGAGCCCCTTTCTAATTATGGCGTATCTCGCTCTCTCCTCGTTAGCTCGAAATGATATTGGCTCGCCCCCTGTTCCGAGAGTTTGCTCACAGAGGCGAAACGGGCGAACCGAACTGGCGGAGTTTAGGCTATTTATCCGCCGTCAAGCGTTATATCCGGCAGTTTCGTCGCGCTGGCTGTGTGCACATTTCGCCGCGATTAGCGCGCGTTCGTTAGTGCCCGGGCATGAACTTGGTGATGTCTTCGTCAATCAGTCGACCGATACAGCCGCGTCGGCTGGAGAAATAGAGAAATAGAGAGAGAGAGAGAGGGGGGGGGAGGAGGGTAGAGACTTCCCTTTCCGGAAGTCTTCGTCGAGATCCACGGGATAATGGGAGAATCCTCGAGCGAGGAAAATCCTCGGTGGCCACGTCGAGCGAAAGTAGAGCGCGAAACAGATTGTCGTTTATCGATTTTGTGTCCGGCCGTACAGGCGGCCGTTATTCCGCTTTATAAATATTTAATTAAGCGCGGGGGAGTTAGCCCGGGATATACACTGGGCGGAAGAGACCGCCGTTCCTTTCAAACCTCTCCGTGAGCTCCCGTCGTCGTCGTCCTCGTCGTCCTCGTCTTCGTCACCCCTCGTCGTCGGTCGGTCCCCCACGATCGATCGATGTGTAATTGAATAACGAAATAACGCTCGCAACGCGGTCGCGAATGTCGCATCTGAAATTCCTTTCGGTCGGGGCGGATTTTAAATAAGTTAAGCGCGGTCTCGCGTCACTCGCGTCGCGGAATCCTCTCGCGTTTTATATAATTTTTATTTCGCGCCATACACACACACGTGTGTGTGTGTGTGCGTAGACCCAGCAGAAAAAATTTTCCATCGCGTGTTTTTACTCGCTGGGGGAAATATTTTATTAATCACCAGGCG